CTACCCCAACAAAAGCCCCTCTCAGGTTCTGTCCATGCAGATTCACTGACTGTACACTTTACAGCTGTTTAAAGCTATGGGTCATCATTGCCCTCTGCTGGCCACTCAGGCACTAGCATCCACTCAGAAACTAAGGCCACCTTCACTCCCCAACCTGGTATATGGCACCTGTATTTACCTGATAAATCCACCTGCAGGCATTGAAATGTAACCACATCCAGTTGTCACCTGAGTCAGGACCGGACTGGGGGCAGAATGAGCAGAAACCACCTAGGGACCCAATGTGACAGGGCAATTCTCCCCCACCACCTTCAAGTATAATATAAGTCTAAAACTTCAAAAGTGCCCTTTCTATGTGGCTTAGAGATTTGAATCCACCTGCGGAGAACCTGCCCCCTTACTCGTAATAATGCACCACAACCTGCCCAACCTCTTCTCAAATGCCCTCCCGGTGTTTCCTACAAAGGAGGACACAGCTGAACTGGAGCCATCTTTCCAAAAAGCTCAACTTTACTGGCAGGTCTGGGAAAGTCTTGGTTTCCAGAGATCCTTTAGTCACTCTGCAGCAGGGAGCACTGAATGACCTCTAAAACAAGAATAGCTCCCCTCAACTCTACAAAACATCCTTGAGGTAACCACACTTTCAAAGATGGCCACACTTTCCCCCTGGCTTGAGGGGAAACTATCCAGATGAACCATACCAGTATTGTTCCTTGGGTTAGTTGGGGGAAGCTCCAGACACCCCTGCTATCAACTTTTGTCAATTACTTTAAGCATACAAACTTCTCTTACCTCTGACACGGTATGGTGCTGGTTCTGGAGCCCAAATGTCTTACTGTATTTGTGGGCTGTTTCTAGAACCCTCCAAAGCCACCTCATTATCTATGGAAAACCTGAGAAAGCTGGCAATCTGGGGAATAGCTAGTCTTAGGGTTAACATAACTAAACCCTCCCATTTAAAAAAAATTTTTAAAGTTGTTGATGGACCTTTATTTTATTCACTTATTTATATGTGGTGCTAAGAATTGAACCCAGTGCCTCACGCATGCAAGGCAAGTACTCTATCACTGAGAGACAACCCCAGCCCCTCCCACTCACTTTTATTCCCTAGAGGCCCTACAATTTAGGGCAGGGGGATACCTGTAAAGATTCAAGATTTGTGGCTGGATCGTGTATGCCTGTAATCCCAGTGGTTCAAGAGGCTGAGGCAGGAGAACTGTAAGTTTAAACACAGCCTTAGCAACTTAACAAGGTCCTAAGCAATTTACTGAGACTCCACTGTAAAAAAAATACATAAATAAACAAAAAGGGCTGGTTAAGTACTACTGGGTTCAATGCATAGTATATTAGACAAAGGGGGCTGGGGATATAGCTCAGTTGGTAGAGTGCTTGCCTCGTATGCAAAGGCCCTGGGTTCAATCTCCAGCACCCCCCCACACACACACACAAACAACTCACAAGGATTCAAGATTTATAAGTACTAGTCAGGCTCAGGGACATAAGCCTGTAATTGCGGTTACTAGGGAGGCTGAGGGAAGGCAATCACAAGTTCAAGGTTGGCCTGGACAACTTAGTGAGACCCTGTGTCAAAATGAAAATGACTGAGGATATAGCTCAGTAGTAAAGTTCTTGCCTAGCACGCACCAGGCCCTGGGTTCAATCCCCAGTACCCCCCAAAACAATGGGGGGTGGTAATCCTCTTAGGTTCAAATAGGAGAACATTGAGAACACCTATCTTAGGATAGACAGAAATGTGCCTGGGGAAATGGCCACTATTCCCCCTCAAATCTTAAGTCTGAAAGAGAACACGGTACATTCACCAAAGCTGCTGCTACTCTTCCTTGTATAGCAGCAGCATAGGACAACTAGCTTGGGCATTCAATTGTTTCTTCTTGTTTTTCCACAAGTGGTAAATCATTTGCCAGCCCCCTCCCCTTTTTTAAAGTACCAGGAATTGAACTCAGGGGTGCTTTACTACTGAACTACATCCCCAGTCCTTATTTTTTGAGACAAGGTCTCACTAAATCACTGAGACAGGCCTTAAATTTGCAATCCCCTTGCCTTATCCTTTAGTCGCTGATGAGCATCAACACATCTGACAACCATTTGGTTCCATAGTACAATGTAGGGCAATTAGGCACTCCAGCACTGGAAAAGCCTATTCTACAAGTAGGCTTATATGCAAACAACACAAAACCACTTAATCAAAGAACATATATGTGTATTTATCTGCAGTCCTGGCAATTGAACCCATGCTAGGCAAGCACTCTGCCCCAAGTTACATTCCCAGCCCTGAAGATGGCTACTAAACTGCTGTCTTAGGAAGATGGTATTCATAGTTTTTATCTTCGTTATTTTTATATGGTGCTGAGGATCAAACCCAGTGCCTCACACGTGTGCTCTACCACTGAGCTACAACCCAAGCTCTTTTATAGTTTTACATCTGCTAAGAGGCCGATTATATTGTGCCTCTAACCAGATAAAGCCCCACAAATAATTAAAAAATAAAAATGGTCATTTGTTTAAAAAATGTCTGATCTGGCCTCAACCACCCCAAGAGCAGTCACTGAGAAAAAGTAAAAGCTGGTTGGTAACAGTATTATATAAGGCTAAAGGACTTAAAGGCTTTAAGTAAGTCTAAACCTTTCCACTTATATTGACTAAGAAAAATATAAGGGAACTATTTCATGAATATTAACCCTGACAATGTGATCTCCTGAACAGTTTCCCTATTTCTTTCTTTTTTCCCCCCATAGTACTGGGGATTGAACCTAGTGATGTTCTACTGAGCTATATCTCCAGCTCTTTTTATTATTTTTTAAAAAATTTTAAGACAAGTCTTGCCAAGTTGCTCAGGCTGACCTCAAATTTGCAATCCTATTGCCTCAGCCTCCCAAGTACCTGCAATTGCAGGTACACTCCACTGTGCCCAGCCAGTTTTCCTATTTCTAAGCTCAGCCCAGGAATCAATCTGGAAATATTAAGAGGTCCCTGAACATGTACCACTATACCAGCTTCAGCTAAGTAAAGTTACAGTGTCAGTTAAAGGCTTACGAAGACTTCTGTGAGGTAAAGAGAACTTAGAGGAAGCCAGTTTTCATCTGAGTACGTGCATAGCACAAAGATGGATTCTTAACACCAGTGACAAAATTTGCTGTAGGGGTAATAAAGATGCCTATTCCTGATTCAGAAGACCAGAAACAAGAAACTTCTTCTATTAAAACCTCATCATGGCATGTTAAGGAACACTTCAGAGCACACCAAGAAAAAGCCAGCATTTCACATATTAATTGCAGACAATGTTTATAAGCATTCTAACTGTACTTTAGAAATAACCCATTTCTGTTGGGCAGAGTGGCACAGGCCTATAATCCCAGCAGCTTGGGATGCTGAAGCAGGACACTCAGAAGTTCAAAGCCAGCCTTAGCAATTTAGCAAGGCCCCAAGCAGCAACTTTGTGAGACCCTATCTCAAAATAAAAAATAAAAAGGGCTGGGTAATATATCTCAGTGGTTAAGCCCCTCCTGTCCCCATTCAATCCTTAGTACCAAAAAAAGCAGTATTTCATTTCTCCTGACAACCCAGCTAGGTTTCAAAGTAACTTGCTGAGGCAAAGAGGAATGACTTAGAAAGTAGAATATTGCAGGTGGAAATGGAAAAGGAAAGCTTCTATTTTTTAGCTATGTCAATCCAGAGAAAGGTCCCCTTCTCTGACCATCGAGTTTTCCTTCTCTACAGAATTTCCCACCATTCCCATCCCTATAGCCCTTCCAAGTCATTGTTCTAGGCAAAGTGTAGAAACCTGCAGGACAAACCAGGCAAGATGGCACATGCCTATAATCCAGGATATTGAGGCTAACAGAGACAAGTTTGAGGCCAGCCTCATCAACTTAGTGAGAACTTGTCTCAAAATGAAAAATAAAAAAGACTGGGAATGAAGCTCAATAATAAAGCACCCCTGGGTTGAATATCCACTACAAAGAAAGAAAAACAAACAGGACAATGCTCCCTTTGACTGCTGGCCAATAACAGCATGCAAATATCTGAAATGATTTAGTTTTACCAAAAGAAATTGATCCAACTCTAACTTGTCAAAGTATTTCAACCTGTTATTAAATAAGCATACAAAAGGAAACCCATACACTAACATTCCCTTGTAACTATTGCTTGAAGATAATCAAGGTTGCTGCAAACTAGCTTTAGAAAGCCACAGAGCAACATGCTCCTAGATGAGAACCACCCTGAGTAACACTTTTTTTCTGAGTGGCAAAGGTGCCCTTCATTCTGGGCAAGGAACATGCACATGACTGAACCAAATGTGTATAATACTCAAATGAGCAAGACTAAATGAAATTTCACTCAAGAGCTTAATGTTGTTTGTGACCATCCAAACCTTTAATCTGGCACCTGCACACCAGGATGGCAGCTTTCATGTAGCACAAAAATACTTTACAGCACCCTTGTGAAAATATTCTCATTATGATCTAATAAGTGGTAATAAACTGGTTGCTTTTTACCACTAGATGAGAGGCAAATAAAGAAGGCTTTCAAGATCTGTGCAGCTGACCCATAGTCAACAGCAGAGTTAATAGCAAGTCAAAAACTGATAAATTTGTCAGGCTAGGGATGTAGCTCAGTGACAGAGCACTTTCCTAGCATATGCCAAATGTGCAAGGCCCTGGGCCTGATCCCCAAAACCGGACAAAAACAAACAAAAAAACCCTCACAACCCTCCTCAAAAACAAAAAAACAAAACAAAAAAAACCCACAACCAAATTCCTACCTGCCCATGGTATTAAATAGGGTGATTTTAGGTTCCATCCTCACTCCTTTCCCATACCTATTCTACAAGGTTCAGGATGCTAATAAGCACCCTTGAAATGCTTATAAGCAGCCAGCATCCAAAGATGCAGAACTTAAAGAGGGTTTTAGGTTGTATCACAGGTAGGTTCTTTCTAAGATGGAGAAGTGACACTGAGAGATAAGACAAGGTGACCAAGTTTAAAACCAAAAGCAGTGGACATTTATTCCTCAATTTTTGTGCAAGAGTGTAAAGATGCATTTAAAGAACCTGATGGCTAGAGAGCATCATTCAAGGCCTTCAGGCTGGCCTGGTTTACATTTAAATTAGGAAAAGAAGGGGGGGGGGAATGGTAATTTGCCTAGTTCACACACATGATGTTTCTGGCAAATACAGTTTTTTACAAGTTTCAAACTACATTTTACCAGAGTCAAGGGAAGACTTCAAAAAGCCACATATAGTACAATTTAAAACTGGATGAACATCCTACAAATGTTAGTGCAAAGTAATTATGTAGACTCTCCAATACAAGATTGTGCTCAGGTTTGGTCAAAGTTGCTCTTCTAAAATTACAATCACAGAGGATTAACTTACCAAATAGCATCGCCTTCATGTTTTATGGCCTATGTACCAAGGGAATGTCACAAGGTTTTGGTGATGCAGCTTAGTTTCATTAATAAAGAAAATTTCTTATTTAGTTTAACAGTCATGTTCCTGGAATGCTGCACATACATTTCATGAAAACACTTTTAAGCTTATGCTTCTCTTTGTTCAATAAAACTGCTCAAGATGTCCTTTTTTCTAGGTAAACTGAAATTGTTTCATGATTTTGAAATGCAACCATTATCAATGAAAACATTTCAGGAGAGAAGGAAAATCCACCACTAATCTCAGCTAGACAAAGTTCTTAAAATCAAAAAGCCTATTCACACAAAATTATATGTAATGACTGTAGTAATCAGTTTATTACACAGATTAATCATTCTTGAACGTACAAGCTCCAGAGGAGCAATTGGGTCTTTAAATATACACAAGTATTTCCATCAAATGAATTTTCACCCTTACATCCAAATAGACCTAAGCAGTTAAAAACATAAGAAAAATAAGAGCTATTAGCTATGTATTAACTGAGAAACCACATACAAACCAAAGAATATGGAGAAAGGGGCTGAAAGGACGAAGGTTGAAGGGGCAAGGAGATGTAAAAGAAGTTGGGAACAAAGCCCATCACACTTTATATACTAATAGCTCCAATCCATTTAAATGCTGACCAGTTAAACTTAGACCTTAAAATATATAGGATGTGGATAGAGTTTAATCTGGTTGGTCATAACCTTCTCACCTAAGTTGTAGGTCCTTCGGAATAAAATTAATACAGAAACAGCTTCATGTTCTTCATTTCATAACTGTTTTGAGTTTAAATGGATTCCACTTAAAAACAATCTCCTACAGGTCAGTGGAGCTTTACCCCATCCAAGCATACACCGTGTACCACCCACCATTCCTCACACCTTGTCGTTATCCAAATTTAAGTCAATAAGGAGAATTTTTTAGTCTCACACCTAGGTTACGCCTGGAGAATTGGCTTGTCACACACACACTTCTCTGCTAGGAGGCAATGTTGGTACAGAAGTACAGTATTTCTAGTTTGTTGTTCCAAGTATGTACAACACGCAGCACTGCTGTATCAGGTAAACATGTGCACAGGGGAAGATGAGGCGTGGGCTCATAGAAAGCAGTCAAATGGAAATCAAAAGGACTTTCTCTTTCAGAGTTCCCCTATCTTTATTTGTAGAGGTTATCCAATAATTTCTTTAATTACATCGCATACTTCTGAGTCCATTCCCGAGCTATTCTGTTGTACCTGTACACACAAAGAGAAGCTTGGCTTAACATAGGTGAGGAGTCAGTTATTAAGCAACAGATTTTATTTTATTCCATCTAATAACTTGAGGGAAATAACTTCTAGCAAAACTACCTTATTTTAACCTTAATTTTTTTCTTTTTGGTGATACTGGGAACTGAACCAGGGACACTCTATCACTGAGTTACATCCCCAGTCCTTTTTATTTTATTATGAAACAGGGTCTCAGTTGCTGAGGCTGGCCTTAAATTTGCAATCCACCTACCTCAACCTCCCAAGTAGCTAGGATTACAGGTGTGTACAATTACACTGGGCTACCTCAAATTTATAATGAGCCTTTACTCAATGGTAACAGGAAAGACCTATAAAATGCACAATAATTTTCTGTAAATGATACTTATGGAGAGTTTTACTTAAATTTTGGCATTTGCTGGCATGTACTTTTTGTAAACTTGATTGACCTATTTCAATAAAAGACCTTCAACTCTCTTTAATTCATTTATTTGAAGTTTTTAAAACTGGAATTCTACATTGTATGATTCTTCAAATCATATACTAACAGTTATTAAACTGACATCATGCTTTCAATTATATCAATAAAATAACTGGTTCTGAAAGAACTTAACTTTGCTTGACAATATGTATGGGCTTACTACTCCAGAAAACATTCCAGTAGTTTGTAATTTTTATACTAAAAGAGAGATGTGGGGCTGGGGTTGTGGCTCAGTGGCAGAGCACTTGCCTAGCATGTATGAGGCACTGGGTTCGATCCTCAGCACCACATATACATAAATAAATAAATAAATAAATGGCACATCAACAACTAGAGAGAGAGAGAGAGAGAGAGAGAGAGAGAGAGAGAGAGAAGCAAGGCTAGGAATGGTGACAAGTGCCTTTAGTCCCAGCTACTCAAAGGCTGAGGCAAGAGGACAGCTTGAGCCCAGGAGTTTAAGGCACTATAGGGAGACCTATCTGAAAACAAAAAAGCAAACAAAACCGAGCATGGTGGACGCCTATAGTCCCAGCAGCTCAGGAAGCTGAGACAGAAGGATCACCAGTTCAAAGCCAGCCTGAGCAAGAGCGAGGCACTAAGCAACTAAGTGAGATCCTGTCTCTAAATAAAACATAAAACAGGGCTGAGGATGTGCCTCAGTGGTTGAGTATCC